CTGCGCTAGCGACTGTTTGCGCGAAGGCAATCTACATCGTGTCGCTTGCCGCTGCCGCGAGCATTTTCGTTGCTATGGGGTTTGGCCTTCAGGACGCGTCGTTACAAGCACTCTACCTGTTACCAGTAGCCTCCATTGCACGAGTGGCGAGCATGTTCACCGTAAACAAATCGATTTTCTGTTGTTTCCCAACGTGCGGCGAACTCTACTCTGACGACCCGTCACGCAGTTCAAGTCAGACGGGGGGAAACCCGCGGCATCGGCGCATTTAGCGATAAGACTGCGTTTCCATTCCATCGTTGCAAAGATTGCTATCTCTCGTAGCTTCACTTCTGCTTTTTTTTACTTGCCGTCTCGTAACTGTTGAGGCTCCAAAAGACGGACGCTTGCAGCGCTGTCAATAACCGACGGGCTCATACTTGAGTTAGGCCTACACCGGTGACTCATCGACCGCCACTGAACGTCGTGAGTTTGCCATCATCCCTGTACCGCGTGATATTGGGGCTCTTTCTGAAGTTCACACCAAACGAACGATCGCCACACCCGCTTCACAAATTAGTGCGGTGCGGAACTTCTTTACTACGGCAGGTAGTCGACAGCACCATGACAAAATGACACATGTCCGTGCACGTCACGATGTCCGTGTCCTTCTTGTCTCTGTGTCGTCGTTCTGTTCTCGCGCTATAACTAACGTCATGACCTTGACCTAACCTACCCGGTGGTGCGAAACTTGGCAGATGTCCCTTAACGCCTCTAAATGCAAGTTAATCTCGTTCACTCGAAAGCATAACAATTCAGCATTTCACTATAAGATTAATAATGCCGTTGTGTCAGCTACACCATCTTACAAATATTTAGGCGTTCACCTTACATCAGATCTATCCTGGACTACGCATATAGCAGCTGTCTCATCGAAAGCATCTCAATCTCTCGGATATCTCCGCAGAAACTTGCGCAACGCTCCTTCTAACATACGCGCATTATCATATATTACTTATGTTCGCCCACAACTAGAGTATGCATCATCCACATGGTCACCATATCAAGATTACTTGGTACGTATGTTGGAAGCCGTCCAGAATAGGGCAGCGAGATTCATCTCCGGAAACTACGACTATCATTCAAGTATTACCCTAATAAAACAAGACCTTGCATTTCAGTCACTAGAAATACGCCGCAACATTGCTCTTTTATGTCTGTTTCATAGGTACATTTATAGTAACGAAATTCACTGTTTGCCACTTTATTCTCCTGCGCGCACTTCCCAGCGCATTCACAATGCCCGTATTTTTATGCGCATTCATGGTCACACGCAGGCATTTAACTTATCATCACTACCTCGAGCCATTGCATATTGGAACGGTCTTCCCGATCATGTTGTATCCATTTGTAACCGTGAAATCTTTCGTGACAACCTGAATTCGTTGCACTTTAGCATTGTATAACACTGTTGCACCTTGATTTTTGATTTTTGTAATCTTTTATATATGTATATATTTTTTCGTCTGCTTTTCTCCTTTATTGTTATTTCGTTTGTATACTGATGCCCCCCTTACTCAATGCCCTTCAGTGGGCAACAGACGCCGGAAACGCCACTTGGCCAATCGGGTGCCTAGGTTTTGTCACATGCCCCAAGCAGCCAATAAAATCGTGCGCTGGTGCTGCTCAATGTTTTTTGCCGGTGGTGCTTTTTGCTGAAAAACCAATGAGCAAGGCGAGCCATAAGTGGCGGGAAATTGAAGATGAAGAACGACCCTTCCAAACGAGACCAAGATGACCACGATAGCTTGTGTGTAACGGCAACAGTTCGGAGTGGAAAAAGCGTGACTTTAGCGTCACGCTTTTATTTCTGCTCAGATTCATCGCACAGGGGTGTTATAAATTGATTTTGTGCCAGAAATAATGACGCAAGACGCTAGAAACTTCTCAGATAAGTGCAAAAATAATTGCAGATTGCGAAAATGTTAACTTCAAAAAGTCGGTTTTTTTTCACGATTTTCGGCTTCTTAAGACACGTGCCCCTCCTGAACAAACAAGAATTTTACCATAAACACTATATTTGAAAGTGACAAAGCAGTTCTTTGACGCAAAACGTTGCATATCTTGCAGCAACCTCTTGTTTTCTGCTTGGTATTCTAGTTCCACTAGCATTCCTTACAGTTTCTGCAAGTTTCCATCCTCATAGACTGGTGCTAGGATGCTCTCAGAGACAGTCCGAAGCAGAAAGTGAAGCTAACTGTTGTGCTGGGCTGCTTTGCATTGCCGTTGCTCTCAGTGTCAAAGCCCGAAAAAAAAAAAAAAAAAAAAAACATCCTCAGACTTGATGCAGCTTGCTAAAGATCAATAAACTCAGCCACAAGCACACAGAATGCCATTCTCTGAAATCTTTAATGTTGCATGCTACCTATTGCAGCATCTAAGTTAATTTAAAACTTGGGCGATCGCACAACTTCGGAGTGCATTCAAAAAGCAAGGCTGAACGGTTGAAAAATGCTACATAAAGAAGATAACTACAATTCTCCTTTACGACAAATAGAGCGGTGTGTCCGCGAATGGCGCAGAATACCTTGAAAGCAGCAATGCAAATTATCTATAGCAGCTGGTTGTCTATGACAATTCAAATATAAGATCTAAAACGTTTCGACTACGCTCATGTGAATAGCGAGTTTTAGGTTCAGTGCAAACGGTGATTTTGGTCAAATAATTTTGAATCAAGCTTCAATACTATACATAAGCATGTTTCTCATGACCTAACCAATCTGCAATTTTTTTCAATTTTTTTTTTCAAAGAAAGTGGGAACAATTTTGGATAGTAGCAGCATCTGACTTTGAGAGAATGCAAGTGATGACCTGTAAAATATGTCATGCTTTAAAACTTACTATACTTCAAGCATATAAGCCTATACAACAACCTTTAACTTAAAAAATGATAAATAGATGTGAGGGTAGTATGATCACTGAAGTGAGGCTTTGCGACTAATTTATCCTCGATAGGTGTTTTCACAGCTTAATGCTCCTTTACAGCTGTGAAATCACTTTTACGAAAGGTTACACGCAAATTATTACGCTTAGGTGCTTTCACGGTTTAGCACCCGTACACTGCAATAAAACCACACTTACAGGTGTTATGCGCTGGCTAATATGCACTAATTCGTCAGTTTTTTTTATTATTATTAACTTAAATTAGAATCAAAGCAAATTCAAATACTGCAATATTGGTTCAAGCATTCGAAGCATGTGAATTCTAATATTAAAAAAATTCAGGGTTCCCAGACATTGTGGAGTGATTGTATATTCAAAGTGGCAGTAACAAAAACCACCACCACAATGAGGCCAATTATCTTAACTTTCGAACCAGCACTCCTGTATGGTGATTCACTGAAAGGTATAGCGCATCCCAAAAAACGTGGCTGATCCCCCTATGTAAGAATCAGTGTAACTATAAAGTGAAACGCGTCTTTACAGAAGTAGTTTAGTGTTTATTGTGCATTGTATCAGCAACAGCAACAAATTGCAAAGTCACATTAGGAACAGCAAGCAGCTCGAAACTTGCAGTGCACATCTCAAGCAGAACGCACTCACGAAATTAGCATTCATAGGGGGAGCGCGGACCAACAACTGTCACATTTCGACGCTTCAAGGGACCCTGAAACAGTTATGACTGTTTTTTCACGAACACATTGGGCCGGTAGACCAAGTCCCAAGAGTAATTTAGAGAACGATTTGAGCTCTCTGCGTAAACTGTGTAATTTATTGCAACGCTTTAAAGCTGCAAATCGCTCCAGATTGCTGGAGATCGCTGCGGCTCGACCAAACGCCTTTTCAACTGCCCATACACCAAGCGACACGCTCTGCCCCTCTGACATCATCGTTTCCAGCTGATCTGATCGCCTGTGGAACGCGCAGCACAGGCAGCCAGTATCGGATCGGCGGCGGAACTTACGCGTTAGCCGACACATGCCACATCGTGACACAGGCACAGTAAAAGCAGAGCTTAGCACCGTGCGCTCGAAGAAAGAGTTGAGGGCAGTTGAGGGTGAAAGACGGAGCGGAGGAGGAGGGTACTTTTTTAGTACTCGTAGCTCCGTTAATAATGGGTGTTTGGATTGAACTCTGGTGCCAATGATTTGCTCCAGTAGTGGTCCAATTAAAAACGAAATGTGAAAAAAAAAACCCTTCAGGGATCCTTTAAAGAGTTCTGTTCAAACAAATACGCAGGAAACGAGCATACAAGGAGAAGCGCGAACAACTGTCCCGATTCTTCCTGCGTCGTGTGTCAGCAGCGCGCTCCTTTTGTGAATGCGGCTGCGCAGCGTGCAAAGTGACCTTCATCCTCTTTCGAGTTACGAGGCTGATAAGTGCACGCACAGGAAAAACCACGCTTCGTGGGGGTGGTGGCTTGTGAGGTGAAAACCTTTAGAGTGCACCCAAAATGAGCCCGTCATGCCCTCTCACCACTGGTAACGAAAGCGCGCTACAGTTTCGAAGCTCCGAGGACTGCCAAACGGTGTATGGTGTATATTAATGGCTTGCCGTTAGCATTTCAGACAACGTACGCTTTGTGGCGTAGTGGTTAGCACTGCATGCTGAGGATTCCGTGCAACAGATGCTTGCCTTCCGATTTTTTTTTTCTTTTCAATCTCTTAGTATATATACTATTTTTCAACGTCACTTTCATGGCTGAAATACGTCAGCAGAGCCGTGGTGGACCCCGGCATAAAGCACTTTCATGTTATAATCTCCTTCGCTACGATGCAGGGGTGTAAAATGATCACGAATGTGCAAAATTTTGTGGTTAACAATAGAAAGGGCCCAATGTAGCGAGACATTCCTCAATAACCCAGATACAGAACAGGTGCGCTGGTAGCACCTCAGAGATAGAAGAAAAGAACTGGCTTATATTCAGGACGATTTCACGATCTACATTCACAGGGAGTCACTGCAGAGAACATGTGCGGTTAGAATTTTTCCTACAGTAAACGAGTCATCCATATACTTACGCATTTAAAGTGTCCTGGAGGCACAATAACACTTCTTCACGTATTCGAAAATTTTTGTGGCTGAACGCTGGCATCATCTTCTCAAGGATGTACTGGAACAAAAAACAAAACATTTTGCTTCTCAATGTGGGGCACTGTGAATCAAAATGGACACTAAGGAGGAACACTAGAGTAGTTTATGGTCATCTTTGAACATCATTTTCATAGATTCACTTGTAAGAGGTTGACTATGAGAAGAGAAAATGAATGCCAATTCTTCGCACTTTCAGCATATATACAGTAGGTTTATACTACCACAACTAGTCCCAAGTAGGCTATGTCAAATTCACTAAATAATAGACAGTTGTTGTATAAACTAAACACACAGCAACACGGCCTTTTGCTCGCACTTATTTTTTTTTACTGACCAAAACTGTTCTTGTGGTTTTATTCTTTATTCGGTGAGTGCCCCGCTTTGCTCAAAAAGGCGTTACAGCAGGGGGGTTACAGACTGGAATAAAACAATTCTTCGTTTATACAGCACACTTGTTTGTCTTGCAGCCGGTTCCAATCTCTAATGGTCATCACAAAAAAGGAATTATAAAACATGGTCGTTCTTGCACGATACTCTTTCACTTTGCGTCGGTGGCCATGTCGACTAGATATGTAACTGGGTTCACTTAAATAGTTATGACGGTCAATCCCAGTCCGCCCATGAAAAACAGAAAAGAAAAACTTCAAACGCAGTTTTTTCCTGCGTAAAGAAAGCAATTCCCAAACCAATTCAGCTTTCATAGCACTGCAGCTGTCTCTCCGCTCGTACCGCCCTAAAACAAACCGCGCAGCTCTGTTTTGTATTTTTTCAAGCTTATCAATCAAGTTTGCCTGCATCGGATCCTACACAGGACATGCGTATTCCAAAATCGGTCTAATACATGTGAGATAGGCTGTATTTTTTAATGTTCTGGGTGCCAATCTTAGGTTCCTCTGAATGAAGTTTAGAGCCCTTGCCGCTTTGCCAGCAACGTGATCAACATTGGCATTCCATGAGCAGTCATGCGACAAAACAACGCCAAGATATTTGCATGTTGGTTCGGTAATAACAGTATGCGTATCTATGGTGTACGCCATTACTATTGGTTTCTTTTTTTTGGAAACACGCATATGAACGCACTTTTTGGGGTTTAGCGTCATTTGCCACTTCTGGCACCACTGTACAATACAATCCAAATCGTTCTGCAAATAAGCACAGTCACCTTCGTTCTGAACCTGTCGATATAACACACAATCGTCGGCAAATAAGCGCATGCGCGACGAAATACCCACAGAAATATCATTTACAAAAATAAGAAATAAAAGAGGCCCAAGGACAGAGCCTTGGGGCACGCCTGATGTAACGTTAACATAGGATGAACACTTCCCATTTAAAAGAACGCATTGACGCCTGTTCAGCAAGTAATTGGTTATCCAGATGAACACATTTGGGTCGAAATTTAGAGTCTGTAATTTATCCAGGAGAAGGGAGTGTGACACGGTGTCAAAGGCCTTTCGAAAATCTAAAAACACACAATCTGTTTGCCCACCTTCATCAACGTTGGAAGCCAGCTCGTGAAAAATTTCTACAAGTTGCGTCGTACAAGAAAAACCTTTATGAAAACCGTGCTGCTCATTTATTAATACATTATTAGCAGTAAGATGGGTCAATATGTGCTTGGATAAAATGTGCTCGAAAATTTTGCATGCCACTGACGTCAATGAAATGGGTCGGTAATTTGTTACATCTTTTTTTGAGCCACCCCACACTTATGAACCGGAACAACATGAAAAATTTTCCAATCTTCGGGTAGAGTTCCCGTTGAAAGGGATTTTGAATAAATTATATAAAGGTAAAGGGAAATTGGCAGTGCACATCGCTTTAGAATACGAGGAGAGATGCCATCAGGACCAACTGCTTTTAATAGTAAAGCTGTGGGAATAGTAAAATTTCAGGTGCAAAATGAATTTGAATATTGAAGTGTGTGGGCGAATCGAATAAAATATTTTTCAATTATTTCATGTTTTTTAATACTTCAAAGCGAAACTGCAGAAAAAAAAATACGAGAGAATATTCTCTCGATAGCTACATGAAAGTGTTTATTTTGCTAGGCTGAAGAACTGTTGGCAGGGTGGTGTTTCATAATTGTCTTATTAGGGACGAGATTGCAATGCAGAAGCCAAATTGTATTTATGCACATGATTTGGTGTAACCAAAACATGCGTTGGCGAACTAACCCATGAGTCGGCTCACTCGGACTCACTCAGATCGAGCCGCGAGTCTGAGCGAGTGCGGCCGAAGAAAATTTTCGTGAAAATGAGTCCCGCGAGTCCGGCTCTGAAAAATTTTGGCGAGTCCGAGCGAGCCCAAAGTGCAAAATATATTTCTTGAGTGAGTCTGAGTGAGTTCTACTTTCTTTTGCCGACCTAAGGTCGTATATAGTCATCTTCGGCATTACTATCAGCCTTACCAGGATTCACGTTTACACTCACATCTACTCACAGGTAATCCAAAGCAGTGTCTTTCATACATCACTTCAATATTTATTAATTTGAGGCGTGAGTAACCCATTAAAGTGCCTTGATCTCCACCAACTACTCTTCCAGGAAATTTCTTGACTATATTTTATGCTGTCATCTTTTACAAGAGAAATGACCTTACTGGTATCGATGTTCTCAGAAGTCATATTCAAAGGTAGTATGTCAAACGGTACCAAGAAGAGCACCGATCACGTGACATATTGGTGTTAAACGACATTGGCACCATGATCGAGGAAGCTCATTCTAGACTGCCGGACTCATGATCCACTCAGACTCGGATCGAACTATGAATCTGAGTCCGTGTGAGTGATGTTTTGGTGAGTCTGAGTCCGAGTGAGTCCAAAGCTCAAAATATATTTTATGAGCGAGTCTGAGTGAGCTCCACAAGTTTTTCCAACCTATGAACCAAAGTTTTGCCGACAACACTTTACATAGGAAAGGCAAAGATGCTATTTTCTTAGCACCTCCTCTCAACTTCTGTGGAAACCCAAGCGACATGGCGGACAAGGATGTGCCTCCTCCGAGTCCAGAGTTGCAAATCTGCCTTGTGGACATCAAAATACAAGAACATATGAAATTTTGAATGTTAAAAATCTTTGGCATCCGATTTTTTTGGGCTTTCTGCCCAAACTTCAATCCAAAACAGCATTAATTGAGACCCAACCTCAGCCACATATACCACCTCCATGTTCGAACCAGCGTTTTTTTAAGTCAATTTTGGACAGGCCACCATTGGAATCTGAGTTTGGCTATATATAACACTAAAACGTTATCTAGTGAGGCAAGTCTAGATGAGCTATTCAAGGAATTAGAAGGAGTTGAATGGGATGTAATAAGGCTCGGCAAAGTCAAAAGGTCACATGTTGCTTATACACTGCCAAAGAAACGACACGTCTTGTGCTATTGTTGACAGAAGGGGTGGGGTTTCCTATCCATAAAAAATATAGCTGGAAACATAAAGGAATACTACAACATTAGTGAGAGGATGGCAAGTTTAATAAGAGGTACAAGACAAAGGCGGTGCGCACCTACATGCAGCCATGATCATCATTTCGGGGTAAGGTAAAGAGACAATACTGATAAGCGACATTAATTTCAAGCTAGGCAAGAAGCAGACTGGCGACCATGCAATGAGGGAATATGGCACTGGATCTAGAAATTCCAGAGGGAACCTACTAGTAGAGTTCTCGAATACCCACTACAGAAAATGGGCTAAATGTAAGCGAACGTGGAGAAGTCCTAATGGCAAAACTGAAAATGAAATAGATTTCATTCTGTGTGCACACCCGGGCATCGTACAGGATGAAGTAGTTGGCAAGATACGATGCAATGGCGACAGAATGGCAAGGCCTCGAATCTGCCTAGACATGAGAACGGAACAGCAGAAACTAATATGCAAGGAGCCAATCAAAGAGCTTGCGCTGAGAGAAAAGGTACAGGAGTTCAGTTTTTCTTAAGAATAGATTCGCGGCTTTAACCTAGGAAATTGACGTTAGCGTCGACACAATGAATGATAATCTGACTGCTATCATTAAGGAGTGTGCAATGGAAGTCGGGCGGTACATTCATAAGACAGGAGACTGGCAAGCTATCCCAGGAGACTAAAAACCTCATCAAGAGACGTCAAACTTTGAAAACCTCAAATTCAACAGACTAAAATAGAGCTGTCGGTGCTTTTGAAGTAAGTCAATCGGCATAAAAGGAGCCTACATCAGACGGTATAACGTGGAAAGAATTGAGCATGCTACAAAGAGCGGAAAAAGCCTAAAAACTTTGAAGGCAAAACTGTGCATCGTGATCATCAGTCGATCATCATGAAAAGATGTGACGAACACTGCGTGCACGTTTCACTGCCACTTTGTGGACTCTCAGCTCAGGAACCTCTTGCCAGCGCTTTTGTGCAGCTTCAGCATCGCGTGCTCTCACTGCAGCACGTGCTGCAGCCCCTTTTCAAGCCCTTCGCTCCACCGTCATCGTCACTCATACACACAGACTGCCGGTGAAAGGAGAAGCGCGCCAAGTGCAAACGCATTTTATAGCTGCACCTCTATCAGTCTTCTATCAAACTGGAGCGCCGCAGCACCATCTAGTGAGGAAGCTGAGTACTAGCACAATGGCCATAGCAGTGACTACGATGGACAATAACAGTGGACAAGCCTTAAGGAGCTTCGCTCATAAAAGGGAATGTAAAACTGCTGGTAAGGCTAACGTGTTATTCTTTTTATCTTTCTATATGTCTTTTGTTTTTTTTTATGAAGGTTTTTCAATTGCTTCCGCTTTTGTTGTCATTGCTTGCGTGCATAAATGTTGTTGTTTCAGCTGGGATGACTTCGTCAGGCATGGATGCCGTTAACCCTCTCTATACAAAGTGTAATTTTTCTTTTTGCATAAAATCAAAATCAAATGAAATCAGCCCTGTTGAAAAATGGTGAAGAGATTGTGTTAGAAAAAAACTTCCAGGCTTGTGCGGAAGTCACAGCGAAAGCTTTCTTGAGCTATTACGGCTTCCGTAATTTTTGTGTACTCCACTATGCCACTATTGATTCTTCAGAAAGCCTCGTACCCGCTGCACACTTATGCGGCATCATGTGTGGCTGACCAAGAATTCAGCCTGAGGCAGTTGTAATGGGCTTGGACCAACTCGTATTGTGTGACGTCCGATTGTTACTGTGCTCGGCCTCCTTGGCTCGTGTGTCGTCAGTGTTACCTGCATGTCGTCTGTATTCTTGAATGCGATGATAGGTGTTCTCGACTCTCACTTCGTTGATGTCGCTGGTCTTCCACTGCTGACACTTGCGTTCGGCTTCCTTGGCTTGCACCTAATCTATGTTGACATCGCCATTCGCGAACGCGATTGGCTTCGCTACGAAAGGTCTGTGCACACTAGCGGGAAGCATGCCCCGACAGCGCCCCACCCGTCCGCGTGATCGCGCAGCAAGCAGCGGCGCACTGTCCACATTTTTGGTGCTATGAGATTCTCAAGACCGACAGATGGAGAGAGGTGGCGAGGGTGAGATAATGCCCATGTGAAGAATGGGCTCGAGTGCTGCGAGCAGTGGAGAGGGTGAAGCGAGAGAGCTGACACGCAGTGAGTGCGTGGCGGGCGAGGGAGAAAGATACCACCGCGCACTGCTAGGAGGGCGTGAGCAACTTGGCACCACTCCAACAACTGCGGCGAGGGGAGTGGTGCCGATGGAGGGACAGCGTTACACAGGCTAGTCAAAGAGCTGCTTTGCATCTAATAAATAAAGGCAGGCTGACTCAGTAGACATTTGTTAACTGGTTTGCTTTTTAACCCTCCATAATTTGAACTTCAATTAACTTTAACATTTGCCCAGTCCCACTTGAAATCTGAATAGTGTGATTGGTGACAGCATGCGCAATGTAACGAAGCAATTGGATTTTTCAATCTGACCCGAGAGTGGTTACCAAAAGCTCTGCACAGAAACAATGACATCAATGGACAAGCCGACCAACCTGAGGAGATGACACCTTCATTAGTGTCATAGTGAAGTACTTTGCCTGCTCCCGCACCTGCAACAAAGTGAAAAAGAAAAGCTTTGGTGTAGCTCTTGACTAACCACAAGCAAATTTTAAGAGGCCCTGTACAGGGTAATTTTAAGCCTGTGTCTAGTAATTCTAAAATTGAAACACAATTGCTCTAGCAAATCATATAATTAATGCTACCATCATTAATTAACAAATTTGATTATTATTTCAAAATGCCTGTGAAATATGTCTGTCAAAACTGGCGCCCCGCATGCACGGTAAAGAATGAAACGATGTGGGTGCTTCTGTGCAATTCCAGCCTGTTAAAAGTGTGTTGCCCCAGAAAAAAAAAAGAATCGCATTCCTAGCATAAGCAGCCAGAACCACCTCGAGAGCAGCCCGACAACAGAGCAAGAGGGGCAAGGAACCCTCGTCGGCTGCCATTGATTGATTTGTGGGGTTTAACGTCCCAAAACCACCATATGATTATGAGAGACGCCGTAGTGGAGGGCTCCGGAAATTTCGACCACCTGGGGTTCTTTAACGTGCACCCAAATCTGAGCACACGGGCCTACAACATTTCCGCCTCCATCGGAAATACAGCCGCCGCCGCCGGGAATCGAACCCGCGACCTGCGGGTTAGCAGCCGAGTACCTTAGCCACTAGACCACCGCGGCGGGGCGCTCGTCGGCTGCCAATTTTGGTTATATGTGTGCCCCGCAAATGTTCTGCGGCAACAACAATACTCACTTTCTTGTGAAACGTCACACAGGGCTTTCATTTGCATCACAATGTGGCAACGCAGAGCAGTGCTGTCACCTTGAACGAGCACTCACACTTACTTTAGAGCCAGATTAAAATGACACTAATTAACAACCAGAAGATGCCGTATATACAGGACAAAAATATCAAGGCTTCGATTTTGGCGTGAGGGTCCCTCTAAACCAAAGGAAGGAAGAAAATGAAAATGAAAAAAAGAAACAATGATCCACAGATATGCCACGCAATACACAAGCCCGTTTCAGTGGTTCCATCACTGGGGTATTCTACAGTTACAGAAGCATCAGTGCTTCTATTCATGGCCCTGCAACCTTGCTTTCAACGAGTAAGGAAGCATCACTGCTTGGGCGCTTGAAATCTAGTACAGCTTGATAAGGACTCCAGTTATCAAAACCTTAATGCTTTAATCTCCTTCAGAGCCCATGCGCTGATTCTTAAAATAAAATAAACCCAACCAAACGAGAGAGACCCAGTCAGGTTTAGGTGCACATTAAAAACCCCAAGTGGTTTGAAATTGGCACAGCCCTTTACTACGGGATCCCTTACGATCATATCATGGTTTTGGAATGATATGCCCCAACAATTGTTGTTATGATTGGCATTAGTGTTATTGTAACCCGCCCAACCACTGTACACAGAAACTCCTCCATTCGGACAGTAATTTCGTTTCCTCCACCATGAGGTTTGCCTCCATTCGTGTTTCATCTTGGAGTGTTGGTTTTTGGAGTGTTAATTTTCACAAGTCGAACTCCATGTTGTAGGTCCCATAAAACTGACATCGTAAAATGAGGGACGACTTTGCTACCGCACTGACGGTAGGTGGAAAGAACAATTAATAAGTCACGATGGAAAGAGATTAACTTTGTCATTAATGACGGGCTTTAAGAACAAAATTTAGGGGCAAGTAAACATAAATGAAGAATAAAAGAAAAAATGACAAGCATCTGCATAGTCCGAGAGCACGCAGTGATGGACTGTAAAACCAGAAAACTGTATAAGTAAAACATCGAATTCAGTTGGAGAAGCATTCAGAGCGGCCCACTACAACAGCAACTCATTTTTTCACATACAGTCGACGTCCGATTTTCCAGACCCTCAAGGAACCGGAAAAACGTCCAGAAAATCGGGCAGTCCAAAAAAAAAAAACAAATGCAAGCAAAAACAAACTTTTTTAATAAGTGTTTTTTTCTGACGAAGAGAATCACAGCAGGAGTACAAAATTTTCATTGCAATTAGGCAAATGCATCATTTAGGTGGCTCTGAAAAACTGTTTATAATAAAAAAAGAAACATCAGCAGCAATATAAAGAAAGAAAAGAAAAAAATCCAATGTTGCCAACACTACTGCACTTGTAAACACTTAGGCGCGAAAGAAAACAAAAAAGTCAATTTCATTTGCACAGCTTTCCACTTGCCAGCGATGATGTCTGCCTCGATTTTAAGCTAACGATATGCTGTCGCTATAAACCGATGACAGTGTCAGTACTCGCGTAACTCTGAGCTCATTGGCTGTGTAGGTGCTGCCTCTTCGATCTTGGTGTAAGAGTCGTCGCAATCCTCCGTAACTTTACGAATGATTTCGTCATAGGTCAATTCCGCACATAGCTCGAGGTCTGTCAGCGTCGGCAAACCCTTCAAAGGTTATCACCGCTGGAATCAAAACATCGGCATCAGGTAGATCTCCGAAAGCAACGTCTGCAGGTGGAAGTTTGCCGCACACGCTGCCCACTCCGGGCAAGATAGCTGTCTCGCCTGAAGTGAAAGCTCGCGCAACGAGAACAGTTCCACAGGGTCTGCTGTATAACCGCCTTCTACGAGTCCGCAAGCATGCCGATGGCAGATCACAGGTCAACAGCGTAGCTTTTTCAACTGTCGGAGCACAGGCAGTACAACACCATGCGACCATGGCCATAGATTTGACTAAGCTACGGCTGGCAACGAATTGGCGTGAGCTGGATTGCGGCATTTGCGGCATTTCTCTCTTTTCTTATTTATTTATTCACAGATACTGCAGGCCCTCATCGGGCCCATACAGGAGTGAAATACAAGAATACAATTATACCATATTATTTATACTCTGAATAGCTTGGCATAATTGAAATAATATACAAGTAAGTACAAAACTGGAAAGTAATAGCAATGTTTAGTACATATAGATTTATGGTATGTCGAGAGTAACAAAAGGACGATGCGACGTTCAGCTGGGCCAGCGACTAAGTGCCCAGTACTGTTTATTCATACCCTATATATACATCTCTGTGAACACTCAGTGGTAACCTGGTAACCTTGTGCAGAATGTTTTCAGGTTCTGCCCTGGTAGTCGTATCGCACTGGCCAGGCGATGGTTGCTCCTGGCTGACCCTGTGGTTTGGCCTCGGAAGAGAGACTGAGGAAAAAGACACGAGATGCAGTCCATTTCATCGTATAACTTCGCTGGGAGTTTCCACAATGTAGGATCCTGGATGCTGGGCCCGGCTAAGAATTTGGACTCGGCAACAGTTACCCACACCCCGTCTCCTGAGAGAGATCCCGGAGCTCTCTCGCCCCATGACAACGGTTCAAGCCCCTAGCTTGCCTTTTCTTAGCGAAGGCGTCCTTCTGGATGACGTCTGGCCGTGGTAATTCCGGTCACAGCTTGCCCTGGTCCCTGGGAATGCGTGTCCGTAACCGTCGCCCCATAAGGAGTTGGAACGCGCTGTACCCAGCGACACCTGGTGTGTCACGGTACACCAGCAATGCGAGGAACCAGTCGTTGCTCTTGCAGATAAGATCCTTCATAGTCTTGAAGCCCGCTCCACCGCACCGTTCGATTGAAGGTAACAAGGACTGCTAGTGATGTGACTAAACCCATAGTTCTGGGCAAAGCTTTCAAACTCGTGTTACGAGAAAAGGGAGCCATTATCACTTCCAAGCACTTCCGGTATGCCGAATTGAGCCATGACACTCTTAATTGCCAATATAACTGCTTGGCTGGAAGTGTTGCGTAGCTTGATGACCTCTCGATAGCGTGAATAGTAGTCTGCAAGCAGCAGAAAAATTTGTCCCTCCATGTGGAACAAATCTGCACCCACTTGTTGCCAAGCGTACTCTAATGAAGGTGTTGGCAGCAAAGGCTCAGCATGCTGGACCCTCGTAGTTGCACAACATTCACATGAATCCACCATACACACAATATGTTTGTCTATATGAGGCCACCAAACAGCATCATGCGGACGTGCCTTGGATCGGTTGACTCCCTGATGACCTTCGTGAAGAGAATCCAACACGTCCCTCTGCAGAGCCTCCAGAATCATCAACACCCTCCTTTCAGGAGCAGTCCCTTGGATACGGTCAGCTCACCTTGGTACTTTCAATACTTCTAGAATTTTGATGGAACTTTGTTTTTTTTTTTTGCGGCCAACCTAATCTTGACTGCATTACTTCACGAAGGTAACACACTCACCATCCATCAACTGGTGCTGACGAGCCGCTTTGCTAACTGGTGCGCCTTCCTCGATGTTGCCGATGACCTCACTAACGTACAACTCCACTTGGTTTTCTTCCACTGGGGACGCTGGTGCAATTGGTGCTCTTGAGAGAATATCTGCCGTTTCCAGCAGATTCCCCGGAACATACAGAATCGTGTACTGGTACCTCATGAGTTTCAGTCGAATCCTCTGGATCCTTGGTGGCAAAGCGTTGACGTCCGTGGATACAAGCGATGATGTGAGCGATAAATGATCAGTCTCAATGATGAAGTGTAAGTCCCGGACATACTCGTCAAACCGATTGACAGCCCATGCAACTGCCAAGCCTTCTTATTCCATCTGGCTGTATTTTTGCTCCGTTGGTGTGAGGGAGCGTAATCCGTAGACCACGACTCGGCGCTCTCCGCTTCACTAGTTTTGTAACCAAACGGCACCGAAACCAAACAAACTGAAATCTGCGAATACGATGGTCGGGTCCAAAGGGTGGTAGTTAGCCATGCAGATGTTGGATGACATCATTTCTTTTGGAAAGCAAGCTGCTGGGCCGGTCCCTACACGCAGTCACTTTTTTTGTTGAGCAGTCTTCAAATGGGGGCACTCACCTCTGACAGACGTGGTAAGAACCGTCCCACATGGCTTACCATGCTCAATAGTCTGCGGATGCCACCGACAAGGGGTTCAATGCTCTTGACAGCAGCAAGCTTGTCTGGGTCCAGTGAAATACCGCTGCCATCGATAACAACGCCGAAGAACTTGACGCTTGTGACGCGGAATTGACAATCCGACTTGTTCAGGGTCAGCCCAGCATTTCTCAGTCGATTCAGCAATGATTGAAGCCGTCTGTCATGTTCTGCATGGTCACGGCCAGAAACCAAAATGTTGTCGATCATGTTTACGACCTCGTCTTGACCCTCAAGAATGTAGCTCATTTGGTGCTGAAAGTATTGGGAGGCCGACGCTATACCGAATGGCAGTCGACGGTAACAATAACGTTACTCCGAACGACATGATGAATGTTGTTAATTCTTCAGACTTTTCAGCCAGTTTTACTTAATGAAAACTTGATGTGGCGTCAAGCTTAGAGAACACCTGATCATTACCCAGTAGTCCCAAAACTTGGTCGGCGGTGGGCAAGATATGGCACTCACGCAACACCACCTGGTTCAGTCTGGTGAGGTCGACGAAGATGTGATATGAACCGGATGCCTTCGGTACAACAACCATATCAGCGCGCCACTGTGTAGGCTTTGTTACACGTCTGATCACGCCCTCCACTTCAAGCCTGTCGAGGTCCGCCTTCACGACACCTTGTAAAGGGATGGGCACACGTCTTGGGACCAGCAGGGAATAGGGGACAGCATCTGGTTTTAGGCATATAGTGTAAGCTTCTCGCAGCTCGCCCATACCACAGAACAGCTTGTCTGATGCCACCTGGACGCCTTGCATCTTGACAACTGGATCCACTGAAATTGATCACCCCCAGCTCTGGATAGCAGGAAACCCAAGAAGTAGCGTGACCTGCGACCGAAGCATGTAAAGTCGTTGCGTTGCCGACTTGTTCTTCCACTGCAGAGTGGCGGTGAAAGTTCCCAGCACGTTTACTGGTTGTCCCGCATGTCCTGAAAGTTTCCCTTCTGGCACCTCAAGATAAGACGGAATTCCAGAAAATGTACTGGGGACGACTGTGACCTCGATGCCGCGGTCAATTTTGAAGCGTAAAATCATGCCGTCCACTCTTACATTGATGAACTTAGCCCACGCTTCTCTCTTAGAACCAACAGCACCCAATTCCACAAAAGAACGATGTTTGCTAGCCCAGCAACCTACTATGAAATAACCCTTCTTTCCACATTTGTTGCAGATTGCTAGGCGTGCGGGACATTCTGAGCACAAATGTAAGGAACGGCCACAAAATCCACAAGGCGAACACACTGTGCATCCATCAGCAACTGCATTGCGCGCCTCTCGCTGCTGTGGGCAGTTCTGCACGACTTTCGCTGCGTCCACGTTTATCGCTTCGGGATGCGTTATCGCCACTGGCGAACATGCTGACAGATTTGGTCTTTTCTTCTCTGTGCCTTCCGCTTGACGGACACAAATGAGCGTTTATCTAACGTAAGCTTTGGATTGTGGCACAGCTTATCGGACAACTTCATGTCACAAAGGCCAACGATAAAATGGTTGCGGACCAGTTGCACCTCTATGTCCCATGCAGAGTAATTGCAGTGTTCCACCTTATTTCCCAGTGCGATGAAGAACGTGACAGCTGTCTCGCCTGCCTATTGAACACGTCGGTGGAACCTTGCACTCTCGTACAGCTCGCTGGCAGGGTGTACGAAGTGTCCGTCGAGCTTAGCGATGATGACGCTGTACTTTCCATAGTCTTCGTCCCAGACTTGCAATGAACACAAAATGCCTCGTGACCTGGTTCCCAGTAGCGTTCTGATGCGAACTTCATCGTCCGCTGCAGGATGACCCGTTGCGAAACTGCAGTCCTCGAACTGGTGACGCCACCTTTGCCAAGCTCCTGGGTTCTCGAAGTCGAAATAAGGTGGCGGTCGCAAGTTAGGCCCAGCGACCATGGCTACCATGGCTTTCCCGCCGGTCACCGCAGGTAGCTTGCTGTTCTTGGTGTTCTTGCCCAAGGGCATTTTTACTATGATGCAGACCCCACGTCAGACACCATGTCCTGAGTAACGAAAGGACGATGCAATGTTCAGCTGGGTCAGCGACTAAGTGCCCGGTACTCTTTATTCCTACCCTATATATGCCCTTCTGTAAACCCTCATTGGTGCCCACTGTTAGTGGGTTACTAGTGTTAGTGTAACTGATGCCACCTAGGATTCATAGAACAAAATACAATAGTACCACATGATAGACAACCCAACTGCACAAAAAAAAAAATGTTTTTCGATACACACAAGTCACTTTAATTGCACACAAATCAAAGTATTTTCAATATGCAACACTTGTACCAAAAAAATTAGACTTTCCTTATGTTTCATAAATGAAGCTGTCGATGCAGCATTCACTGCTTCTGCAGATAACGCATTCCAGGGAAAAGGGGAAAGAGAGCGAACTTGTGGACATTAATGTGGCTAAGTGGCTGCCAAAAAGTTTCTCGTGATTCATCCTTGTGAAAAGTTTTGAAGGTTGCTGAAAATAATGATCCCATGATAATTTGAGGTCCCCATGGTGACGCTGATAGATTAATTTCAATCTGTATACTAAACCGCGCTGCTCCAGTTTTGGTAGGCTTGCCTTAATACATAGATTTATTACACTCTCGAGAGTAAGCTAAATTTAAGACTCTTTCCACTTTTTTATTCAAATATTGTTGGGTCCAAATATTGAGCTCCAAATATTGTCTGCATACTCTAATTTCGGTCGCTTGTATGCTCTCAGTTTTACCGTGTGTGATGATGTGGATAGTGGTGCATGGCCGTGACAGTAAGAGGAGGAAGCTGGTGACGATTACCGTGTGGCCACAAGCGAAGAGCAGAAAGAGGAAGAGCGGTGCAGGCAGACATCAGCGTCAGTAGTTCATCGAGTTTCTCGGTGCACCAGCGGCCTACTGTTCGAGCGACTTGGTGCGACTGTTCCGGCGGCGCTGAGATCTCGTGTTTAGTTCCTTGGTGCACCGGTGGCCTGCTGTTTGAGCGGCCTGGTGTGACTGTCCAGCAGCGCCAAGATCCCGTCCCTGGCTCCTTGGAGCGCCAGCGGCCTGGTGCGAGTGTCTCGGAGTGACCGGGAGTGATGCCGCAGCTGGAAGCGGCTGACTAACCGCCCCCGAGGCGCGGTAACAACCTCGGATCAACTGGCCATTACGACTCCCTGCTGAGCAGCCACAACCGAGGCGCACGCGGTGACGAGCCATCCCAACCTTCGTCGGGCCATGTAGTGCCACCGGTGCAACGACAGCGTGAGGAGGTGAATGTAGGAGTGCGCAGCATGTCGCAAGTAGACGGAAGGTTAATTGGCAAACAGTATTAAGCCTGTAAATATCCTGTGTGGTTTCTAATCTTGTCTATAATGTCGTCTGTGTTTCATGTTTGAAGGCCCCGATTGCCGAGTCATTTTATTGAACGAATCCTGGGCCCACACTTAATCGCATTACCACCAAACCGCAGGAGGATTATTACATAGCTTCCTCTTCAAAAACAACAATTTCATTAGTGCACCCCTATACACGTTTTCAACATGCATTTCCCACTTGAGGTTACTGGTGAGTGCGACTCCTAGATATTTAACATGATCAGCTCCCTTGATGGTAGCATTTTCTAAAGAATAAGTAAAGTGAAGGGGCATCGTTTTGTTGGTAAGCATAATAGGATTCGTTTTTGAAGGATTTATTTTCAGTAAGTTATAGTGAACTACAAAGGTTAAGGTTTAATGGTTAAGGTATGGTAAGCTACTAGTAGTTATGGTCTGCCCGTCTGGATTAGATTGGGTAGTAGTGTGCAAACTGAAGGTGATTGAAACATTTCCCAATTCCTGCTAAAATTAGAAGTGTCAAAACTATTTTGACGTGGTCGGCTATTCTTGCACAGTGTGCCACAATTTCAACTAATTTTACAGTTTTTTGCTCAATCTTGTGCAAAAGAAAGGATTGTGTCAAATCTGCGCAATTGATGCAGCTGTCACACCCCTGCCCTGCAAAAAAACCCGCACCTCCCCTTCTTAAGCACATTTTTCTGGTTCTTGGAGAGGGTTATGTGCAAAAAAAATACGGTAATTAAAGCTTGGCAATAAGGAACCCAAAAATAAAATATACGGCTGCATGTAAGCTTGGCAAAAAGACGTGCACAGCTGACACCTTATTTGGTTTGAAGGGGAGATGAAGCATGCTGACAAAACTAATAAAATTTGGTTAGCAAAAAATTTGACAGCATAAAAATAATGTGAAATTCACTAGATGCTAGAAGTAAGTATTAATAATGTCCTCTTTCTACTAGTACTGAGAAAACCCCAGAAACCTTCAGTACAGTAAATCTATAGCGTTACGACGACTCAAACCTACACGTCAAGAATCACAATAAATATGCCAAAGACTTACAGAATCTTTGCTGTCACCCATTCTGTCCATGGTTGCCGGAATGACTGTGAGAGAAAGCAGTTTTCACATCAGAATATAATTCTGCAGCAGTAGTTGGCACCAGTGAAAGCAAGGACTCTGTACAGTGATTTGAGTTCAGTAGGCCAAATGGAAATTGTTTTTTGCAGGAGGCCACATTCTATCTTGCATGAACCCAGAAAAGTGAACCTACTATTTATGGCACAGAAAAATTGGCAAGGGTCAGAAGCACAACACACAGCACACGCTACACAATGTATCAACATGGTAGCAATAAGGCCATGAACATTGGCAACACAAACCTCTTTGCAAGCTTATCAATAGTCACCCTTCACTACTGGCAAACAGCACAAGCTAAACAAAAGCATTTAACAATGTCACCAAGCCTATCCTAATTCTCCACGGCTGTCATAACAGCCAACTGCTGGAATGGTGAACATCGAACAATGGATCGGTTTAAACTGATAAATCTTACTTTGAGAACTCTAAATTCATTAAATTAAGCCTCATATTTTTAAAAGCAACGGAGAAAACCAAGGTTAGAATTCAGATTCCAAATTTAGTACCAAGATCTCCGCCATGATGTCATGAATTTCAAAGTATATTTTTTGCAATTTGGCAACACTGGCTACATCTGAAGACAATGTGCTTTATTTTTACCGATTATGAACTACTACATAGTATCAAAATCTCAAGCATCATGGCACTTGGTGATGGAACTTCAAAGTGGTGTTGCCAGTTGCATTTTCTATTTGTACGTTTTCTCGCTTACCACACATCTAGCAGCAAGCATGGCAATTCTAGTATTGTGGTTTTTAATACCAGAAAATCAGTTCTCTTAAGTGTGTGCAGAAGAGAGGCTTGTGTTCACAATGGCACAAGGGCCTTGCACAAAACCAGCCCGTGTAGAAACTCTCAGTAGAGTTACGCCCACCTGTGGAGATGTATGGCCGGAAGTCCTCCTTGAGTCTTTCCGCCAGGATTGAAAGGATCTCGAGACCATTTTGTGCCACCTAAACACACAGGAACAACAATGAACAAGCCACGAATAAAACAAAAAGCACCAACAGCTAAGAAATCTGCTTGGCTACAGTATATACAGAAAGATTTGATCTCATCGAGCTAGGTGAACTTGGTTTGTATATAGAAGAGAGCTTACAAAAGTCCCAGTTTTTCCCAAAAGTTGAAGTAATAAGAGCAATAACATATCACAGAAACAAAGGCTCAGAACTTTAAAAGGGCCCCAAAGCGCCCCTATCAGATATCACAAAATAGCTTCACTGATGAAGAGCATCGTCACACGAATTCTCTGGCAAAAATAACTTTGAATCCTTCATGCATAAAAGGAGCTAGTAGCAGTTAATCATGCCTAGACAGTTTTCTCTCTTTTGTACATGTCCACATACCAAGCTAAAGCTCCACAAAATCCAAGGCGAAACCTGACCCAAAGGTCACATACCCAAACGTAAACGAATGGACCACGAAAATGAGTTCTGTTTAGCAAGAGTTGCATTTATTGAGAGACGAACAGGGGTGCACGATTCATGATGACGAATGGTGCTTTACGGAGCGCCAGGATGGCATGTGAACGACGATCAGTGACTATATGGGAGCAAGGCACATATAGTTTTTAAAATCAGAATATCGACATGGGTGGCGGGAGGTCATACAAGTAACACTGCATAGTCAATTTCCTTCATACCAAGGGCTGGGAGGCAGGTGCTTTTTATAGTGTAAATACTGCAACAGCAACCAGAGACTGGGCTACGGATACATGACATTGAAGGTATGCAGATCTTTTGAAAACTCGAAGAGTTACTAGTGTTTAATGAAAGGTTTTGCCTCAAAACACTGAAGGATGGAAAGGAATTTGCTGCTTGTATAGGGATGGGAAGTGCTTTCTTCTATACAGCTCTACTTCTGCACATTGTGGGAGGATATGCAACATTGTCAGTGGCTCACCACATCTATCGCAGCTGGGCGAGTCACCCCCCCCCCACAAAAGGTGTACGTGTGCCCTATTCTTAATCTACAGAGTGTGACTTCTGTACAGCATGTTTTTGATGTGGGTGGCCGGTTACCCAGCACTGGCATAACCATGTGCGGCTTATTTGACTGCTGTTCTTTTGTACCTGAATCTAAACCTCAAAGCATCCTATTGGATCCCATGTTTGGCTTCAATCTCGAGCAGATTGTTTCAGTCCCAACTCGAGTACGGGGAACGTCATCCTCGATCTTGGACCTTGTTTTTGTAAGTAACAGCCTTCCTACAAATGAATCTCGAGTAGACATACTTGATGGTTTATCCAATCACAAAATGGTATTATGCACATTGCCTTTTATTAGCCCACCAAAATTACATGGCCAATTAAAAGAAATACCTGCATTTAACAAGGCCAATGATGTGGCTATAATGACGTACCTTGTACACGAGCACACTGAATTTTATTACCTCTGTTCTGATGCTTGTTCTAGCATTGATGCGGTCTGGCTGAAATTCAAATTCCATGTCATGCATTGTATGCGGAACTCTGTTCCAATGGTATTCAAATCAAATCAAGAACACAATCCGTGGATCACACGTGAAATAATTTATACTAAACGCAAAATCAAGAGGTTGCAAAAACTAACAAAAACTAGAATGTTCCAGGCTACCGTTCTATACTAAACTCACTTACTAGATCACTTAAGGACCAGGTGCGTAACGCGAAACAGAAGTTCTGCGGGTCCACATTGAATGAGTTTATTAAAAAATCTCCTCAGAAATTCTGGAAGCATATGAACACAAAAATGCCTAATCGACCTTCACCAGACGGTCGAGACCAAGCAAGAGCTGATGATTTCAACTATTATTTTCATTCGGTTTTTACGGTCGATAATGGCACTGTGAACATAAATGCTTCTTTATATGATCAGGATATGCAATTGTTAGGCACGCCTTCTTCATCAGAAGCTGGCATTCTGTCGCTGCTTCTAGGCATCAATGAAAAAGAAAAAAATTCCGCCATATCCACGAAGTGAATGATGATGAGTGGGCGAAGCTCCGGAGGTAAACCTGGTAAACCATGAATCCTCTGTACATTTTGCCCACTCGATTTTATTACATCGCTCCCCCTAGCATACGTCGCCGCACTAAATCGAACGATTGCCTTCAACCAATGACACGCGTCATATGTGACATCATTCCTATTTTATAAGATCTCGCGTCTTTCATCAACTACAAGTACAGCTTTCTAGTTTATAACATCTTGCATCTTTTCATCATCAGCTACAAGTACCACCATCTAGTAAAGACTACAAGAACTAAACGAGAGGTGGCTACATACAGGAGACTGGTACCGCCATCTAATGAACACTGCAAGAACTAAACTAGAGGTGGCTACATACAGGGGACGGTACCGCCATCTAGTGAACACTGCAAGAACTAAACTAGAGGTGGCTACATACAGGCTACAGGGGACGCACAGCCCACGCCCTAAGGAGCTTCGCCCCTAAAAGAAGTAGCGGTCCAGACGGAACCCCAATGGCCTCTTTAAACGATATGCAGAAACAGTCAGTAAATATCTTTATTTGATATACTCCAAATCACTGGCAGACGGCTGCATTCCACCTGAATGGAAAATTGCCAAAACTACTCCTATATTTAAATCAGGTAATGCCGCTAATCCTTCTAATTATAGGCCTATTTCGATCACCTGCACTAATAGCAAAATTCTCGAACATATCGTATTAAAATTTCTAGTTAGTTTTATTGAATCAAACAAGATTCTGCATTCCGACCAGCATGGCTTTAGGTCAGGACTATCTACAGTTACACAGCTCGTCGAAACACTTCACGACCTGTCTCTCAGCATAAATGAACGTATTAAACTGATGTAATTTTTCTCTATTTCTCGAAGGCGTTCGACCGTGTCTCACACCCTAAACTATTACTTAAACTTAATCACTTGTTAGGCAATGGCCCCATCTTCCAATAGATAACTAATTACTTAACTGACCGTCACCAATACGTGCAGCATGGTATCCACACCTCTGACCTAGCTCCGGTGTTGTCAGGCATTCCGCAGGGGTCTGTACTAGCTCCAGTTTCATTTCTAATATAGATAAATGACATAACTAACTACACAGACGTTTAACTCAGACTCTTTGCAGACGACTGTATGCTCTACAATGAAATACATCATCACGATGATCAGGTGAAGAGTAATTCACTAAACAAAATAGCTCAGCGGTGCGCTGATTGGCAAATGACTATAAACATTGACAAAACTGTATTTATGTCCATTACCAACAAGGTGTCTAAGTTTGATTTTCAATACCATTTTAATAATGTGCCACTACGAAGAGTTAACCAGTACACATACCTTGATTGCGTCTGATCTTGGTTGTGTCTGATCTTAGTTGGACAGAGCACGTGCGTCAAGTGTGCAAAAAAGCGACGAGCATAATTTTTATTAAACGGGCCGTGTCTTTCGCCACACATTAAACGAAGCTTCTTGCTTACGTCACATTTGTCCGCCCGGTCTTAGAATATGCTAGTATTGTGTGGATCTCTCACACTGTGAATAATATCGCTATACTGGAAAGAGTTCAGCGGAATCTTCAACAGATACGGGTGCAATGACTCACCTGCTGCTCTATAACACCGTGCTGGTCTAGCCACCCTTGATAGTCGTGCAAAGGTTCTCCCGCTTAAATTTCTTTACTTTTACAGAGATCATTCCGCATAAACCCAGATCTCTACTTGAACTTTCGAGACACCAGACCGATGAGGCGAAGGCATGCATGGGAACTCCAAGAATACTCATTTAGTAATAATACTTTTTCTTATTCATTCTTCCCTGTGCGTAATTCAAGAATGAAACACACTGAATCCAGTCATTACACAGCAGCCAACATTAGAGAAATTTATGAAACTAATTGAAGGTACTGACCTATTCTAATATGGTTAGCATGTACAGTGATCACCTGTGTTTTTCTACTTTCTGTGCTTCGTTTCTTCTCGACCCCTGTTTCTTTGTTGATGTGCCATTGAAGTACTTTGTACTTGGTTATGGTACAAATAATTATGTATGCTTGTTCTATGCCGTACTGCTGTGTTCAGTGATTATATATTCTTTATTATTCTCATTTTTTTCATTTCAGACGTCAAAAGTTGTGACAGTGATGCTCACCCCTGTAATAATCCCCATGTGGGATTGACAGTATTCTGTAAATAAATAAAATAAATAAATTTTCTGTTTCATCGTCGCATAGATGCTGCCAGTGTGACTTGGGTGTTTTTCTCAGACAGAGTGTCAGGTCAAGTACAGAGATCTCTCTTGACGTGTCAGAGCCGTCAGCATGAACAGATGTGGCTAGCCGGCCAGCCAGTTCATTGCCCTCGATATCTCGGTGCGCAGGCACCCAGCACACCACTATGTTCCACTGGGATGAGTAAATAGAGCACAGCAGGGTATAGAGCCCCCAATACTACCACTAATATCATGTAAGCTTCTGCTGTGAATATGCTTGTTGTATTTGAATGCAGTATGCCAGCCTCTGACAGGGATGAGCCGACTGCTGTGTACGATATGCCAACATGAGACTTGGATTCATCTGTAAAGAATTCACGACAAAAATACTTGTGCTGTAGTTCAGGAAAGCCAGGCACGTGCTTCGCAACTTTTATAAAAGACAAATCACAGTTTATAAGCTGCCACGGCAGGATCTAGCTGCTCAACAGGAGCCATCAGCCAATATTTAAAAAGTGGAACGTTCAATTCCTTAGCTCTTACACGCAGAGAGTATGGCTCTCATTGCAGGACAGTTATGTCGTCTCGCACAAGAAGAACGCATACACTCGACCGTCCTAGCAATTACCGACCGTCTCGGCCAGAGTCTTTTGTCTGACTCATCTGAGTCTATCTCGTCTTGGCCCCACAAAGAAAAGCTAGCCAGATCGTGTACAGCATAATATGCTGGATGTTTGTTGTTTTCGTTTACATTTAGAAAGTATGTGAATGATTCTTTG